ATCATCAGAGGCATCTACCTATCATCATAGGCATCTACCCTTATTATAGGCATCTACCCATCATCAGAGGCATCTAACCATCATCAGAGGCATCTACCCATCATCAGAGGCATCCTCCTATCATCAGAGGCATCTACCCATCATGAGAGGCATCTACCTATCATCAGAGGCATCTACCTATCATCAGAGGCATCTACCCTTATTATAGGCTTCTACCCATCATCAGAGGCATCTACCTATCATCAGAGGCATCTACCTATCATCAGAGGCATCTACCCTTATTATAGGCTTCTACCCATCATCACAGGCATCTACCTATCATCAGAGGCATCTACCTATCATCAGAGGCATCTACCTATCATCAGAGGCATCTACCCATCATCAGAGGCAACTACCCATCGTCAGAGGCAACTACCCATCGTCAGAGGCAACTACCCATCATTAGGGGCATCTACCCATCATCAGAGGCATCTACCCATCATCAGGGGCATCTACCCATCATCAGAGGCATCTACCCATCGTCAGAGGCATCTACCCATTATCAGAGGCATCTACCCATCGTCAGAGGCATCTACCCATTATCAGAGGCATCTACCTATCATCAGAGGCATTCTCCCTTATTATAGGCTTCTACCCATCATCAGAGTCATCTACCTATCCTCAGAGGCATCTACCCATCATCAGAGGCATCTACTTATCATCAGAGGCATCTACCTATCATCAGAGGCATCTACTTATCATCAGAGGCATCTACCTATCATCAGAGGCATCTACCTATCATCAGAGGCATCTACCCATCATCAGAGGCATCTACCTATCATCAGAGGCATCTACCTATCATCAGAGGCATCTACCCATCATCAGAGGCTTCTACCCATCATCAGAGGCATCTACCTATCCTCAGGGGCATCTACCCATCATCAGAGGCATCTACCTATCATCAGAGGCATCTACCCATCATCAGAGGCATCTACCTATCATCAGAGGCATCTACCTATCATCAGAGGCATCTACCCATCATCAGAGGCATCTACCCATTCAACCCATCATCAGAGGCATCAAAAGCTTTCATGTGATTGCTCCCCAAGTACATGCCTCTCAGTTAGAAATCCTTTCTTCTCTTTTAACTTGTCATCTATGTGGAAAAATAACCATCACAACTACACAAAGCATCACACATCACACTACAGACATCACACATCACACTACAGACATCACACATCACACTAGAGGCAACAGTGCTTCGTGCCTTCTCCCAAGATAGAAAGCCTGTTCTTTTGTCTGTCAAAACCCACAAGGTCCTCTTGGTGGCCTGAGACTAGAAAGCAGCCACCTCACTGCCTGGAAACATGGCAAGCAGGTAACAGGAGACGTCCATGTACAACTCATAATATACGGTATTCCCCGGCACCTAGCCGGAGCCAGGTGAGCGCTACACATCTGTCCGAATGTCACACAGAAAGCCGCCATGTGACCACATCCATCCACCAGAGGAGTAGCAAGGGTTAACTTTTCATTGCTATACAGTATATATACTTTTATGTATAGATATATATCAATGGACATGACATGCACAATGACCATACAGTCCATGTGTACCATTACTGGTATGTACAGGTAATAATCTATCACTTATCAATGAGTATCAAACTATCATCTGTCTGTAAACTATCTATCATCTACCTTATTATTTATAAGGTACATGATAGGTGATAGGTTATATCTAGTGATAGGTGATAATCTTTTATTTATCACCTATCACTAGACCTTTGTATCATCTATCACTGCATGTATCAATATTCTATCACCTATCACTAGACCTTAGTATCATCTATCACTAGACCTTTGTATCATCTATCACTGCATGTATCAATATTCTATCATCTATCACTATACCTTAGTATCATCTATCACTATACCTTTGTATCATCTACCACTATACCTTAGTATCATCTATCACTAGACCTTAGTATCATCTATCACTAGACCTTAGTATCATCTATCACTAGACCTTTGTATCATCTATCACTAGACCTTTGTATCATCTATCACTGCATGTATCAATATTCTATCACCTATCACTAGACCGTAGTATCATCTATCACTAGACAGTAGTATCATCTATCACTGCATGTATCAATATTCTATCACCTATCACTATACCTTAGTATCATCTATCACTATACCTTTGTGTCATCTATCACTGCATGTATCAATATTCTATCATCTATCACTATACCTTAGTATCATCTATCACTGCATGTATCAATATTCTATCATCTATCACTATACCTTAGTATCATCTATCACTAGACCTTAGTATCATCTATTACTATACCTTTGTATCATCTATCACTATACCTTTGTATCATCTATCACTGCATGTATCAATATTCTATCATCTATCACTAGACCTTAGTATCATCTCTCACTAGACCTTAGTATCATCTCTCACTATACCTTTGTATCATCTCTCACTATACCTTTGTATCATCTATCACTGCATGTATCAATATTCTATCATCTATCACTATACCTTAGTATCATCTATCACTATACCTTAGTATCATCTATCACTATACCTTTGTATCATCTATCACTGCATGTATCAATATTCTATCATCTATCACTATACCTTAGTATCATCTATCACTATACCTTTGTGTCATCTATCACTATACCTTTGTATCATCTATCACTAGACCTTAGTATCATCTATCACTATACCTTTGTGTCATCTATCACTATACCTTTGTATCATCTATCACTAGACCTTAGTATGATCTATCACTATACCTTTGTGTCATCTATCACTATACCTTAGTACTATGTGTCCCCAGTTATTTACAAACACTGGAGTGATCAGCTGAACGCTCCAGTGTTTGTCCTCCACAGAGGATTGGTACATATCACTTATATGGAACGATCCTCTGCCGCTCAGCCACACACACAGGGGGGCTCACTCTGCAACTTCTCCTCTATCACTATACCTTTGTATGATCTATCTATCATCTATCACTATACCTTTGTATGATCTATCTATCATCTATCACTATACCTTTGTATGATCTATCTATCATCTATCACTATACCTTTGTATGATCTATCTATCATCTATCACTATACCTTTGTATGATCTATCTATCATCTATCACTATACCTTTGTATGATCTATCTATCATCTATCACTATACCTTTGTATGATCTATCTATCATCTATCACTATACCTTTGTATGATCTATCTATCATCTATCACTATACCTTTGTATGATCTATCTATCATCTATCACTATACCTTTGTATGATCTATCTATCATCTATCACTATACCTTTGTATGATCTATCTATCATCTATCACTATACCTTTGTATGATCTATCTATCATCTATCACTATACCTTTGTATGATCTATCTATCATCTATCACTATACCTTTGTATGATCTATCTATCATCTATCACTATACCTTTGTATGATCTATCTATCATCTATCACTATACCTTTGTATGATCTATCTATCATCTATCACTATACCTTTGTATGATCTATCTATCATCTATCACTATACCTTTGTATGATCTATCTATCATCTATCACTATACCTTTGTATGATCTATCTATCATCTATCACTATACCTTTGTATGATCTATCTATCATCTATCACTATACCTTTGTATGATCTATCTATCATCTATCACTATACCTTTGTATGATCTATCTATCATCTATCACTATACCTTTGTATGATCTATCTATCATCTATCACTATACCTTTGTATGATCTATCTATCATTTATCACTATACCTTTGTATGATCTATCTATCATCTATCACTATACCTTTGTATGATCTATCTATCATCTATCACTATACCTTTGTGTCATTTGTCAATATACCTTTGTGTCATCTGTCAATATACCCTTGTGTCAGCTATCTGTCATCTATCACTATACCTTTATATAATCTATCACTATACCTTTGTGTCATCTACCAATATAGCTTTGTGTAATCTGTCACTATATCTTTATATCATCTATCACTATACCTTTGTATCATCTATCACTATACCTTTGTGTCATCTGTCACTATACCTTTATATCATCTATCACTATACCTTTATATCATCTATCAATAGACCTTTGTGTCATCTATCACTATACCTTTGTGTCATCTATCACTATACCTTTATATCATCTATCACTATACCTTTGTGTCATCTATCACTATACCTTTATATCATCTATCACTATACCTTTATATCATCTATCAATAGACCTTTGTGTCATCTATCACTATACCTTTGTGTCATCTATCACTATACCTTTATATCATCTATCACTATACCTTTGTGTCATCTATCACTATACCATTTATATCATCTATCACTATACCTTTGTATCATCTATCAGTATACCTTTGTATCATCTATCACTATACCTTTGTGTCATCTATCACTATACCTTTATATCATCTATCCCTATACCCGTGTGTCATCTATCACTATACATTTGTATCATCTATCACTATACCTTTATATCATCTATCACTATACCTTTGTGTCATCTATCACTATACATTTGTGTCATCTGTCACTATACGGTTGTGTCATCTATCACTATACCTTTGTGTCATCTATCACTATACCTTTGTGTCATCTGTCACCATACCTTTGTGTCATCTATCACTATACCTTTGTGTCATCTGTCACCATACCTTTGTGTCATCTATCACTATACCTTTGTGTCATCTGTCACTAAACCTTTATATCTATCACTGACTATACCTTTGTGTCATCTATCACTATACCTTTGTGTCATCTAGTCATGTGTCATCTATCACCTTTGTGTCATCTATCACCTTTGTGTCACGTGTCCCTCGCCTACAATGTCAGTCTCTCCTAGTTTCGCAGAGGACAATGAGGCTGTTCGGCTCAGGTGTCAGACTCTAGCTATGCCCGCTGTCGGTCCTCATACAGATCGGCTGCCCACATTGGACGTACCTGAGTGTCGCCGATGTCGCACGGTTCGCCTCCGCATGGTCCCCCGGGGAGCTCGGCGGAGACCAGCAGTAGCCCGGGGAGGAGACAGAGGAGGACGGGCAGCCCGAGAAGAGCTCCGAGAGTCCACGGAGGATGCATGAGGAAGGCCCGGTGTCGGTGTGTGTGTGTCCGGCGCCGCTCGCTGTGCTCCCGGTAGTAGGTACCGCTCCTTGCTCTGGATGCTGCGATCACTGAGCTGCAACCAGCCCGGAATCTGTTACCATAACAACCGGCTGATTGACAGGAGAGGGGAGGGAGGGGCGAGGAGAGACAACAACGGGGGAGGCAGATAGACGGGGCCGGGGAAAGCGGAGAGATGGCTGTGTTCTGCGATGGAGATATGGGGGGTATGAGGGCTCAGGCTGGAGATAGAACATCATCGCTTGGGGTTGCTGGAGTATTATTCCTCCAATGACAATGTCATCCATGTTCATGTAGGGATTAGTGTGCTCTATGGGATAACCCCCAATGACAGGTATCTTCTATAGACGCTCCACTGTACCTGACATTCAGGGTATGTGCCCACTGTGCCACCTAACATCGTCTGCTGAAACTGTCATATTGAGTATTGTACCAAGATGTGTCCTCTGACTCCTCATTATGTGCTCACTGTGCCCCAGGTATGTGCTCACTGTGCCCCAGGTATGTGCTCACTGTGACATGGGTATGTGTTCACTGTGCCCCGGGTGTATGTGCTCACTGTGCCCCGGGTGTATGTGCTCACTGTGGACCGGGTGTATGTGCTCACTTTTACCCCGGGTGTATGTGCTCACTTTTACCCCGGGTGTATGTGCTCACCTTTACCCCGGGTGTATGTGCTCACTGTGCCCCAGGTATGTGCTCACTGTGCCCCAGGTATGTGCTCACTGTGACATGGGTATGTGTTCACTGTGCCCCGGGTGTATGTGCTCACTGTGCCCCGGGTGTATGTGCTCACTGTGCCCCGGGTGTATGTGCTCACTGTGCCCCGGGTGTATGTGCTCACTGTGGACCGGGTGTATGTGCTCACTTTTACCCCGGGTGTATGTGCTCACTTTTACCCCGGGTGTATGTGCTCACTGTGCCCCGGGTATGTGCCCCGGGTATGTGCCCACTGTGCCCTGGGTATGTGCTCACTGTGCCCCGGGTATGTGCTCACTGTGCTCTGGGTATGTGCTCACTGTGCTCTGGGTATGTGCTCACTGTGCCCTGGGTATGTGCTCACTGTGCCCTGGGTATGTGCTCACTGTGCCCTGGGTATGTGCTCACTGTGCTCTGGGTATGTGCTCACTGTGCTCTGGGTATGTGCTCACTGTGCCGTCGGTATGTGCTCACTGTGCCGTCGGTATGTGCTCACTGTGCCGTCAGTATGTGTGCTGTGTGCCCTGAAATTGTGCCCACTGTGCTCTGGGTAACCGCACCTTAGATGACGCAAGCATTGTTTTTGTTTTAAGCACCAAATCTGTTGTGTCTAGTAAAGATATTTGGAGGGAAATCGATGGGCCTGGGGTAGAGTATGATCTGCTATAGATCTGGGGGATGGCAGTTGAAGATTCCCCGTAGGTGGTTCGGATAACAAAGGTTTTCACTTTTTATAGAGGTGCACCCTCCATGATACACCCTCCGTGATACACCCCTCCGTGATACACCCCTCCGTGATACACCCTTCCGTGATACACCCCTCCGTGATACACCCCTCCATGATACACCCCTCCATGATACACCCCTCCATGATACACCCTCCATGGAGGTCTGGCAAACTCAACCCTATTACTATAAAGCAGCCTTCCTCAACAGGGTGCAGGAGCATACCGGGGTTTCTTCCGGGTGCCTTCAAATTTTTGATTAGTGTCATACATTTACACTGGTGACACTGCTGGTGAGCTCTTTCACATACACATTAATGAGCTAGGATGAAGTGCAGAGGTAACATTGCGTTCCGGCAGGATAATGAAGCTGGCAAATGGCCCCTCCTAGAAGACGTTTGATGTATGACCTCTACTAAGCCAAGGTGCTGCGACTGAGCTGGGTGATGTGGGCACGGAAGAGTTAAAAGCTTAACAGATAAAAACCCCACACAGTGTGATTTCTTTCGGAATCTGCTGAACTGTGCAACCCCGCGCAATTGATTTTTTTTTTCATTAACAAGTCCTGATTTTAACACAATTATTTCCACATGGAACATTGGCCAGACTTGTATTGTCAGCTTCCTTCACAGTTATAAAACTACATTACATTATTGGAACAAAGACATTATGATGGATGTAAGTCATTGATGGATTTATGTCATCCATGTTATACAGTGTTGGACCCAGTATTAGGCGCCAATCAGCAATTACGTTTCATAGCCGAAGTAATCGCCGGTTCCTAATTTATTATTATTTTATTCCAGGTATTTATATAGTGCTGACAATTTACACAGCGCACATCAGTCCCTGCCCTCAAGGAGCTTACAATCCAAGGTCCCTATCTTGCGTGCATACATATAGGAGCCAATTAAGCTTCCAGCATGTCTTTGGAGTGTGGGAGTGTGGGAGGAAACACACACAAGCACAGGGAGAACATGCAAACTCTTTGTAGATAGTGACCTGACCGGGATTTAGACCAGGAACTCCTGGTGCGAATGCAGCTTTGCAGCCAAGTCTCCGGTCACACTTGTGCGTCTGCATGCTTTTTTGGCGCCTGTTTTATTTTTGTGCTTTTTAACCTCTTTGGCGGTATTCCTGAGTGTGGTTCGGGGTTCCTTTTTCAGTACCATAAGCGGCAAACCAGAGCCACACTCAGGATTACACAGCGCCACACTTACCTTGTCCATAATCCCCGCTGTGTCCTCTGGGCCGATGCCGGCATCCGTCTTCCGGGTTTCGTCCCTTGCGAGCGTACGCGTCGCAGGGGGGGGGGGGGGGTAACCGGCTGCAGTTTTAAATGTAAAAAAAAGGCAGAAAAAAAAATAGAGACAACAATGTGGAAAAAAAAATCAGACTGCCAGGGAGGTTAAGGTGGTGTTGCTATTGCCAATAAAGGTAATAATACAGTATAGATTTCTAGGGGGTGGTGGCTGTTTGGCCATGAAAATGCATGTTACACACGTTTTACATGCACTCCCATTGAAGTCTATGGAAATAAAAACATCACCCCAAAAGAAGCACCTGCACCATTTTCCAAGTCACACAGAAGCACATTGCATAGGTGTGAATGGACTTATAAATAATAATGGGATTCCTTTGACCTGCATTTTCACATGATGGCCAAATCGTGTCACATCGCACAAGTGTGAACAGGGAATGAATGTATGTTTTAATTCAAGCAGTGTAAATGCAACAATTTGACCTGGTAGCATCTCCTTGCAATCTCTGTACAGCTTGGCTGAAGTGTGAGAGGAAGAAGCAGCATGAGGAGCCAATCAGTGGATATGCTGAGCAAAAGCATGCTGATAGGAAGAGAGAGCACAGTGACAGAGAGATGAGCTCATTACGGCGCTGCTTCTCCTGTCACTGTCCAGTTACGGACTGGTACCGACCCAGGATGAACTGAGCCCAGAGAAAGTGGGTTTAATGATGCTGGCCATCAGACTGAGGACATCTATTTGCTCATTGGATTGAAGGTGAATATTGCAGACAAAGCAGGTTTGGTTATTTTATCTTTTAATGGGCATCTCAATTTTACCTGTTAATTTTGGCTGCAGGTATTATTTCTATTGGCTAAGTCCCAAACCTAGTTACCGATATCAACCAATCAAAACATGATCTCTGTCTATTGAGGGTTACTACACTTAGGGCTTCATATATCACTGGCCCCTCCCTCTTAGATTGTAAGCCCTCAGTGGCAGGGGCCTCCTTACCATCTTGTCTTGAATTGTATTGTGATTGTAATGTCTTCGTTATATTGTGAAGCGCTGCGAAAACTGTTGGCGCTATATAAATCCTGTATAATAATAATGATAATTTATAAAAGTTCAGTAGCACCCCTAGATGGCGCTAAAGAGTATAGGAAATTCCTATAGGTGGCAGCACCATCTAGGGGCGCTTGCGTTGTGCGAATGGCCCTTACTAATGGGAAGTCTTTGTTGAGTAGGATTGAATGATATATACATATATATATATATATATACAGGTGAAACTCGAATAATTAGAATATCGTGCAAAGTTCATTTATTTCACTAATGCAACTTATGCGGTGAAACTAATATATGAGATAGACTCATTACATGCAAAGCAAGATAATTCAAGCCGTGATTTGTCATAATTGTGATGATTATGGCTTACAGCTCATGAAAACCCCAAGAACCCCAAATCCACAACCTCAAAAAAGTAGATTATTACATGCAATCAATAAAACAAGGATTGTACATAGAACAATATCGGACCTCTGAAAAGTACAAGCATGCATATGTACTCAGTACTTGGTTTGGGCCCCTTTTGCAGCACTTAGTGCAATTACTTTTGCACGATATTCTAATTATTCGAGTTTCACCTGTATATCTACCAATATATTAGGAAATAATCTTTGTAGCGTCATGGGTGGGAATATGGTCTTTCAAAGAGCAGGCAGATAGTTGTGTGATAATAGCAATAAATGTGTGTGTGTTTGGACTTGATGGACTAATGTCTTTATTCAACCTCAAATACTATGTAACTATGTAACTATGAATATTCTCCTTGACAGCGTTCCTCGGGCCTCTGTTATATATACTTTTGTCCTTTACTCTGCTGCTTTGCATTAAGACGTCCCTATAATTCCATTAATTGATTTCTAAGCAGACAGTTCCGTTAGGCAGGATGTGTCATGCTGGTGTGGTGGACTGCTCAGCAGATCCAAGAATAAACCACATCAGGTTGCTTATTGCATTTCCTGCAGAACTAGACTAGAAATGCAATGTAATCTCACGTAAAAAAAAACCTGCTCATCTGTTTGAGGGAAATGTATCCAGACGGGTCCTTTCCATTCCACCATCACACTAAGATGTCAGAATTCCTTATACAGTATGGAGGTCATAGCCAGCTTTTTGTTTTTGCTTGCCTCTGTCTTCTATAACTCAGCAGATGAGATATCATTAGAGATAAGCAGTTTATTGAGGTGTAAAGGGGCCAGTATAACAATAATGATACCAAAGTTATTTTTATGTATTGCTGTGACCCAGAAAGGTAGCTCTAGATCATTTCTTGCTTGAGAGAAGGGAACCGAATATATCCAACTTTATAGAGTGTAAATGACCTACCGTGGCCACATACAATCAGACTTTGTTTAGATTTCATGTTAGATATCCTTCCAAAAA